TATTCTCTGTGTATCTGTTTAAAAATTATAATTTATATATTATATATAGTGATTTTGGAAACTAGAATGGGTTACTGCGGTTATTTGAAGTAAAAATAGAATAAAATGATAAAGGAAAAAAAGTCATATGGCATTATATGTTTCAACCTGCTATCATCTTATTTTTTATGTGAATGCACCGATGCAGTGTAATTACACTGAATTTTTGAAACACAACCTAATTTTGTTTTAACCAATCGATCCATTTTATTATTCTGCGTATAAAAGTATTAGACCTAAGTCAACTCTCTCTCTCTCTCTTTCTACATATTATTTGAATATTATATCTTAATTTCTAAATCTTTTCTCATACTCTGTTTTCCTTATTTATCCGAGCATAAATTTTTTCTCGACATTGAAACCTTCTTTCTGATAATTAAATTAATAATAGTTAAACAAATCGATGATAATTAATTAATATGTTTTATCTTTTTTTATTTTTTTTATTTTTTATCGAAACAATTTTATACGCGATACTACAGGCTCAATGTTTTATGATCTGTTATTGAAGTTTCGAATACGTGTGCACTCTCTCTCTCTCTCTCTCTCTCTCTCTCTTTTTCTCTTCCTCTTTCTCTTTCAGTACCATGATTCTCACAGTGAAATACAATTCTCCGCTAACCCCCCTCTAGCTATTGCACAATATATACAAGTTTATCGGTGATTTCGTTATACGAAAACCACGTTAACCAGCTTGACTATATTTGCAGTAGGATATTTGTATATGACGATTAATCGATTGTGATCATAGAAAATCATTATCTAAATTGATAGATATATATTATACCAATTTATTAATTAGCAATTTATCCAACGACGGATGATAATAAACACAAATTGTATTATGTTTTGATTGATCGGAAAAAAAAGTAGTATTAACATCGAAGATTCGATATTAAATGCAAAACGTCAACAATTATCATGTAAATCTATCAAAGTCGAGTATGACAATTAAAATAGCTATCGGTTATAAAGTATACTGATTTTCACGTACCGAGGTAGCGTACCTATTCTAATTAAACAGTGCACGTCTGATCTCAAGATGGAATTCCAAGACCGGCATCGATTACCCAACCAATTTGCTACGGGCTTTACTCTCTATCTCTCTTCTACCTTTCTCGCCCTCTAATCCCATTTCTCTCTCTCTCTATCTCGCGCAATTCTGTTTCCACGGAACTTATCGAGAAATGCCATGAACGCGCGGATCTTCTACCAAAGGATGCCAAACTTAATTATAGATGGTGGAACATGAAACGTACAAACGATTAGTGTCATTCCAATGTTGAACAACATTTTTGAACTTTTTAATGGGAGAAACAGACAAATAAAGAAAGAGATAGATCGAAATAAGCGCATTTATAGACATCGAATAGAAGAAGAGTGGTTTCTATAAAAGGTGAATGACCTTGTTGTTTACGGCTATTCTGTACGCTCGAGCAACAACAAAAGAGAGTAAGGGAGGAACTATCGTTACGTCGTTGAGCTTGATTTACGTCAACGTATTACGGCGAAAAATTAGAGAAGGGTAGGAGGATGAGAAGTTGGGGAGATGGGCAAGGGATATAGAGAGAAGTAGACAAAGAGTGAGACAGAGGGATAAAAACGAAATAAAAATTAAAATAAAAATAAAAAAAAAAAAGAGAAGAGAAGGTTGAAGCTTCGACGAGACACGAGAGAAATGGGGACCGATTCGCAACGGGTAGTACTGCTGTACTGGTGGTGGGGAACAATTTCTAAAACAAAGGACTTGTTATTTGTGCCGTATATACGAGAACGAATCTATCGCCGTGAAGTCGGGCTTTTCAAAACGACGACAATGACAATGACAATGACGAGGACGAGGACGCATGTGGAAGAGGAAGAAACGATAAACCGGCCAAACGAATATGCATTTCAAATCCAACTTTAAAACCCGACTGGCCTATACTTGGTATACATAAAAAATGAGTAGGTCCATGGAGACTTAAAAGAATATTCTAGAATATCTATAGTGTTTTCCAACTCGTTGAAATTAAGTGCTGCTTCCTCGTTCGACCCTTAATTCGCTTCTTCAGGGTAACGTGACCTAGGGACAAATTTGAATTTGCACAAACTGCTCTTACCCCTTTTTTGCGACTATGCTGGAAGAACGATTCTCTCGGGAATGAAATAGAATAAAACAGAAAAAGAAAGAGAGGTAGAAGTAACCAATGTAGAAGAAGAAGAAGAACAAGAGAGAGAGAGAGAGAGAGAGAGAGAGAGAGAGAAACGACGACCAAGACAACAGCCTTAATAGCCGGTACAATGGGGGGATCTTCGAGTCTTTTACGTCGCACTTGACGAAACAATAGTCGAACGAGTACCGTACGATAGACCGCCGCTGGAGGGTGCCGAGAGTGTCGAGGACGCCGAAGAGGGGTTGCTACCAGTAGACGACTCGGAATCCGTAGCCCCGGGTCGGATTTTAACGACGTGCTCGGACGCAGTCGTTGCATCTCTCTGCCAGGGATGCACTGTCTATAATTCTGACTTTTTCTCTCTCTCTCTCTCTCGGTATCTATCTCGCTTTCCACCTTCCATTTTTACCTCCCACCATAGTCTATGTTACCCCTTAAAATAGTCCCATCTCGCTCGTACCAAAGAACCGTTTCGTTTTCGTGCGCGCGTCTCCAGGCACGTCAGGTTCTACCTCGACGCAAATTCTGTCCGTTCTCTTTTCTCTTTCCTCCCCTCCTCTTTCTCTTCTTCCTTTTTTTCATCCCCACAGCTCTCTCCTTCCATAGTTTGAGTTCGCTTCCAAACTCCCCAGTCGTTTAACGTCAAAACTTTTCTCTTTCTCTCTCTCTCTCTCTCTCTCTCTCTCTCTCCCTTTCTATCTCTTTCTCTTTGGCAGACATCCCATCGTGTACAAAATGTTCAACTTTATTTATCAATATTGTTGAGACATAAGGCATGATCGAACTTTCGATAGATTCAAAAATCGATTATTGATTCTAACTGAGGGGAATTAACGTTCGCTAACAATTAATTGTTTCTACAAGTTACGCTAGATACATATACGATATATTCTTATATATAATATATGCTGGAAGACAATCGTGACAAATCTAACTGGAGCTTGATATATTTCATGATACATTCGCGTGACTTGCTATCGCTTACGAGCAACAAACTTTCTATTCAGATTATTCTCCTCCGATCATATATCTTTTCCCAGTTAAAAGCTACTAGAAATCCCCCTGAGGTCATAATAAAAACATCAAGCCTGATTCGACTATCTAGAAAGTACAAGGAATTGCGAGAAATGTTGAAGGGAAACTTCCACGATGACTGAAAATCTCTCACGTGAGTGGATATCAAACGACATGCATGAAGTATTGTTTGAACTTACTTTCTAAAGCTATATATACACACATATTCTCATTTGTTCCCTCTTGCTAGCACCTGAGCCAGGATTTTACCAACCCCCCTTACTCTAAAGACAATCCCTTATGCAAAAACGTACAAGAGAGAGAGAGAAAAAGAATGTTGAAGGAAAAAGGAAGAAGGAAGAGAAATCATAGGTGGGACAACAGTGGACCAACCACCGTGAACGGAAATGGTAAAGAGGTCGATTGCGACTAATTAATAAATCGCACGAAACTCGACGCGGTAATTTGTTAATATTTCTCCAAGAGAAGTTACGTCGATAGGATTAAAATCGTTTTCGTTAATTCCGGTATATCGATCCAACGCTTTACATACTAGGTATACAAGTTAGACCAGAACGAGGAGCTAGAATAGAGATATAAATAAATATAGAGATACAGACTTCGTATTCCTAAAATACGATATTTTACTGCATCCTGTTGATAATATATATACTGTCATAGATATTTTCTTTATGTAAAGATTATGACAGATAAATATTTTCATATGTACATACCAGCAAATATTAGGTATATTATTATAAGCACGGATTTCATTTAGAAATAAGATAAACCGTATTTAACGTTGCAAAGTCTTTGAAAGGGAGACCGAAAGAGAAAGGTTAAAGGAAAGACGCAACGTGAGGAGAGCTCAAATGTACGAACGTACACGAAATACTACTCGAAAGACAAACGAAATAGTCAGAGAGGAGCTAGGTAGTATGTTAGCCGATGAACGATCGCGACCTTTCCACCTCTTTTGCCGAGTACATGCTCGATCCTTCGCAAGTTCCCTGACCCACCCTAAAAAAGTACGGGCGGTTCAACGCGCCCGGAACGACCTACCCTTCCCTTCCCTCCCTCTCTCTCTCTCTCACTCTCTTTCTCTCTTAGTTACACTATCCTTGCCTATACCGTTCTTTTTTTAACTAAAAAGAAAAAACAACACAAAACCTAAAAGAAAGAAAGAAAGAAAGAAGGAAAAAAAGTAGAGAAAAAAACATCGGTAGCTCGACGAGGCCGTGTAGGATCGACGAAAAGTTTTCTCCCGAAAATGAACGCGAAAGGGAATAGAAAAGAGGGAGAGGAACTAGTAGGATAGGAAGGGAGCACACATATTCGCGAAACGATTTGGCGGGCGCGCACGCGATGCGCGCTTACGAGAGGCACGCATCCATCTCGGAAAGTCAGCCGAAGGGTTCCTCTAACTCCGAGAGGAAAAGAAAAAGAGAGAGAGAGAGAGAGAGAGAGAGATGCAGAAAAAGAGAAAAAAAAGAAATGAAAAGAGGAAAAGAGAGAGAGAGAGAGGGTTGAGGGTGCGTGCAACGACCGCGCACGTCCTCCCTTTCATTCTTCTCTTCTCTTCTCTTCTCTCTGCACTCACCCCTTCTTCGCTAGAGCCCCTCTCCAAATGAGAGAAGGTGACGCTCTGTTGGGTATACGTACCAAGATAGAGAGAAACAGGTATAGTGGAAGAGGGTAGAGGGTGTTCACAGAGGGGTTGAAGAAGGATACCGAGCGTTGGAGAGGGGAGAGGGTTGCACGCATGCGCCCCTAACACTCGCGGGGCTTTCCCGGCGCGGATCAGTCGTGGCCGGCGGTGCCGGAGGCCAAAGACTTTCGCGAGGGTGGACGTGCCGTGTTTTCTCTCGCACACCGTGAGAATCCACTCTCCTTTACCTCTCTCTTTCTCTCTTTCTCTCTTTCTCTCATTCTTTATTTCTTTCTTTCATTCTTTCTCTCTCATTTAATCTTTCCTTTTCCGCGCTTTCGTTATCTTCTTTCTCGCACGCGCTTGATCGCTCGTACATTCGTTCATTCGTACGTCGTATCTTCATCGTCGGCTATGTAAAACGTGAATTTTGTCTTCTATCATATCCGAGTTGCCGTGCAAGAACCGCGTCCGACGTTCCGCGTGCAATTTTAATTCCACTGGACACACAATACGGAGGAGGGAAGTACCGAAGAGTATTTTCGACGAGATTACTTTTTTTTTTCGGTTAAAAACTTTGATTTTTATATATTTTCTCATTTATTTAACGACATATTGTTTAGTTTTCGTGAATTTAGTTTAATCTTGATAATATCGCGCCTATGCGATCCCGTATTGGTCCCGCGTGTTCCATCGCGGCCGGATATTCCGTGAACTCGTCGTGCTCGATCATTCAATGATTTCGTGACGCGTTGTTGTCGTATTCTCGGCAACGATTTTTCTTCCTCTCGAAATAAAGATTTATTATTTCGAGAGTGAACAATTATAAGACAAATAGACAAGATTGTCCCATTGGTGATCACGCTGGTGTCGTCGTGATAGAGTGGAGAGAGATCAGCTTCATTGGAAACATCCTATTTCGTTGGGATCAACTTGAAGAAGACTTTTCAATAAGAAGGGGAAAAAAGAAAATAACGAAGTTACCAATCCTAGTCAAAGAACAGGAAGATAGAAAGATGTTGGCCCGATTCTTAATATTAGCCGGTAAGTTATACGTTTTATTTCATTTCAATCGCGTACGAACTTTTGTTTATGTGCTACGTCAAATTACTTTAATCTTACGGAAATTAACTATCTATGTATGCATTTTGTATTACGGGATCATGCAACGAGGCTTTGCAACGTGCATCGATCGTTTCCTATACCACGCGCGTATCAAATTCCTGCCGAATCAATGACCCAATCCTACCGAAATTCTATGTGAACGAGAAAGAGGTAGATAGATAGAGGGAGAGAAATACTTTCCGCTCGGAATTCCTACTTGTCGGTTTTGTTTGCATGATAAATGGAATACGTCGAAACTATTTTCAACTTGACGGCACGCCGAAACGTCACACATATTCTAAAATCTTTCATTAAATTTCTACGATTAAAATTGCGATATATTTATATATTGTAGAATAATTATAAATTTCCTATTTGAAAATAATAATAAGTGGCGAACTTTTAATCGAATTTATGAAAACAAACAATGAAGTTACACCAATATGATATCATTTTAAATATAACAAATCAACAAATACGTACCTTCTAAACGTACGTCGAAAAGGAACGGGGAGATACAAACAAAGCTTTGAGCTTTAGTTCAACTTTGCGCGCTTGCGAAACGCGATAGAGAGTGAGAACGTCGTCTGTGTGTTTCACAATTCGTGTGAGAGTGTTCCTAAAAGTTTCGCTCGAGCGCATACTGGAAACGAGATAACACCGAACACGCGTAACATATTCGTGAAAATCTAATTTGTGAAATAAAGACAACCAGCCTAGTAGATTGACATTATTTTTACAAAACTTTTTGATAATTATCGTTAAGAAAGATGATATTCGACAAATGCTAATAAATATCTTTACAAACGAGTTATCGTATTCTATCGAATATGACACGTGTTAACGAAAGACAAAATTAAAGAACACAAAAATTCGATTTTTATCTATCAACGAATTCTCACAAAATGTTATTGTGAAAAATAATCGACTAATATTTGTCGAATTTGAAAGAGAGAGAGAAAAGAAAAAGGATATATCACAATTGCATATCTATCTATAAATTTTATCGAGACACCTAACGACTTTTAGCGTCGTTAAATATTTCATGGTTGAAAGTCAAATAAAAGAAAAATACAAGTTCGATCAAGAAAACTTTAAAAGCTTCGATATATAAATCGACTACGTAAAATATGTAAATAGGGGTAGGGTAGGTAGGGTAAATAAGCGTTTATTTTCTTTCGGAGTCGAATATAAACCGCGTCATTAGATTTGAGAAAAGATAAAGAGAATGAATATTTTAAATACCGTCTACGTAAGAACGAAAGACTATGGTACCGACCTTTCTTCGTTGGATCAATTAACGCTTTCGTAGGGAAGGGCTCGTTACGAGAAATAAAAACGAAAAGGGAGAAAAAAATAAAAAATAAAGAAGGGTATCAAAGGAGTCGGAAGAAAGCATTCTGTTGTTGCACCTTTACGCTGACGATAAATTATATACATAGTGGTTGTAGACTTCCAATTGGAAAAGGGGCGATTGGTCGGTCTTGAAAACAATACAAAACGCCGATAACGATCGCAGGACGCGTCTAAGAAGCTTTCTTTTTAAGATCTTCGAGCTTTCAGTTAAGAAAGCTACGTTTCTACAGCAGCGAGTTTTCTCCTTCGGATTCTTTTTGAAGAAACTTTAGTCAAGTCTGAGAGTACAGAAAAAATCAGTTGAAACGGGGGTAGGGGAGAATTGAAGGCGACGGGAAAAGAGAGAGAAAGAGAGAGAGAGAGAGAGAGAGAGAGATAAAAGAAAGAAGATAAAGAAAGAAAGAGACAGAAAAATATCTCAACTCAGTTCGTACCACTAATTGCGGACAATTCAGACTCGACATCTCTCAAATCTCGGAAGCCTTTAATCTCATCGGGTTAGTCTTAACGACTACGACGGCGTGTTTCGTGAAACGACGTTCTGAAATTTAAGCGACTCCATGAGGTAGCAGGTATCCTTAATAAGGCTCCTTTCCCGACGTTTCCTTTGTACCAACTTCGCTTCATCCTCCATATCTTCATTCTACTCTACTTTCTACTTCTTCTTATCCTCCTAGCACATGCTCAGTTCCACGAGTTAGGTGTGCGCGTTAATGGAATATTTTAATGGCTAAGTAAACCTTCGGTCGACGTGCTTTTGTAAAGGATTGGATAGAACGGGGTGGAGGGGAGGGGTGGGGAGGGGGAAGAGAAATGAAACGAAGAGAATTAGCGTCAAGTGGACGAACTATCCGCGCTCTTTTAACGCGTCCATCATATCCGTAGTTTTTTAGGTCGCCTCGCTATACCATCCTTTTAAAATTGAATAGCTTATATGAAACAATGCTCGCCTAATTCCAAAAGGGAGTGGTAGTTTCTTCACCCTATTACAATTTAAAAGGGAATTTAGTAGTCGTACGAAATCTAGAACGACATGTTGAAAAATTATAAATAACAATAAGCGTTATTGACATATAAGAATATTGAAAAGATGATATTAATTTCATGAATAAAATAAGAAATAAACTTGTTTTCTTCTTCGCGAGGAAAGATTTAATAATCCTGTAACGTATTCGTCCAACGTAATAAAATTTAAACTAGAAAAACGAAACAACTTGAGTATAACTTACCCTACGTGCTTTGAACTAATTTGTATATTGAAAAACTATTATTAAAACTTGATAAATAAGATATAGACGATGTCGTCAGTTTTCGATAATTATCGTCGATAAAATAAAAAGTCTTTTTCAAGGGAAAAAGTTCCAATAATCTCGTCGAATGTAAGTACTCGTCGAAAAGAATAATCGAAAAAAGCGGAGCAACTTGAGCATACGTGCTTCGAAATCTTAACGAAGGTATAAAAGTCCCCTTCTCGGATTCGTTTCACGATGTTGAAAATTATCGTCCCGTGGAACAGATTTATTTCTCGGGTACGGTGATCGGAAATGGAATGAGGGAGAATCGAAGGATACGCTCGGTCGGAGAGTTAAACGAAGAACAGAAAGGTGAAACAAAACGACAGGAGAAGGAAAAAAAATGGATAAAGAGAAGAGAAGAGAAAAAGGTGGTGGTTGGGAGGAGATAGGAAAGAGGATGGTCGTGAAGGATGGGAAAAGGATAGAACGAGAGAAACGCGAGCTTTCGCGTTGGCACGTACTCCGATTATGTGGATAATGCGAGGCGACGTGACGAGCCTACATATATACGATATGTATATGTATATATATATACATATATTACATATTATATAATATATACATATATCCATCCCGATGGGCTCGCAGTACCATCAACCCGCAGAATAATTTATTCGTTATGAATATAAACTCGTGGGAAACTGATTCGTAGCCAGTTCGAGTCGAAGGATGAACCGATCTTTGTGAAACGAGGGCTGTGTGAAGCTAGTCTAATGTAAAACAAAGTGCGCAAGATGTAAAATACTGGAGATGAAAAGAGAACTTGTGTCCTAGAAATTCATCCATGTATATAAAAACGTGGAGACAATATATAACTTCGATTTTATGCATATTTCTAATATAACATCCATTTCCTTCGATGGTCTTGAACACCCTCTTTTCACTAAATTTTTCTTGTTTATGTTTTCGATACGTTTTCACAACACAACACAACTTTAAAGTTCTATCGATTTGCCCAAGTTTCAATCGTATTTTTAGGATTTGCTATTGTAGATCTAAGAGAGATTGAAAGGGGAGGTGAAAAATTCAGCAACACCCGAGAAACTTGTCTAATGGTTTCGAAGAAAAGTAACTTTTCACTGAGCTAGCCTTCAGATGGAACTACGCGATACACAAAGGAAGACGATGAATAGTCGACTGCACGAGCGGAAACTCGTGGAAAAGCGATTTAGATACATCGCAGTCGAGTAACAAAACACGCTACGACGGAGACGGAACAAAGGGGTGAAAGAGGGTGAATGAAAGAGAGAAACAAATGATGGCAAGTGTTAGACATAGAGAGAATTTCATCTACGTTTTCGTACCTTTCTTAGGATCTACGAATTAAACTACAAGCATTTAATAAATAGAAACTTACATTGAATGGAATTTACGATGGATTGTTAATACCGTTATTCTTTTCTCAAATTTACGAAAGTTATGAAGAAAATTCGCTTTGCGGTTTTCGAATCTCGTATGAATTCTATCTGTTTTTGTAATAAAATCATTTTCTTATTTTCCTTGCATTGTCACAACTGAAGGTTACGTTCACGAAGAGAAAAAGAATAAAAGAGAAAAAAATAGAAAATGTTTGTAGAAAATCGAGATCGCATATTCCTATGATATCGTAAAATTTAATAACTCTTCTCTCATAGTCAAATAGAATTGTCCAGAGACGAGCGATTACAAACGACGAGAGCAATGACAAAGAAAGAAACATAGAAAAATATAAAAAAGAAATAAGAAAACGGAAAGGAATGCTTTCTAAGTTTCACGTTGCTCGCATCGTAAAAGAGTAGTACGATCTTTTTTAGGTTTTCCTTTTACATTTTCACGAATATCGTTCTTCGTCCATTTAGAAAACTCTTCTTCTTCTTCTTATTCTTTTTCTTCTTTTTCTTCTATCTCAGCATTTGTCTGAAAACTTCTTTTCTATGAGGTATCTACCTATCTTCCTTTTGGCGAATCTCATACTTTATCGTTCGAAGAAAAGCTTTGTCTTTTTCCACACGACAAACCTTTCTTTCCCTATATATGAATTCACTTTATACCGAGTATAACTATATATATATATATATATAGGATATATACTTAGATATACATACAGGATTATCCTATCTGTTATAATACGTCAAAAAATAAAAGTAACATGTTTTCGCTTGAGGTTTCGTTTTCGAGAAAATTGTGTTTGAAAATTTCAAAACTTAAATACCTTCTCCTAATATCATATTTATGATAATCATGAAAGAAACTATTCTTAAATTAATCATTACTCCATTCTCTGTATAATCCTTCTGTCTGAATGGACAA